AGAAAACTATCTACTGGAATTTCTTGATGATGTTAAAAAAAAAGTTATCTACCGGAATTTTTTTGAGAGAGATGTTAAAGAAAACTATCTACTGGAATTTCTTGATGATGTTAAAAAAAAACTTATCAACCGGGATTTTTTTAGCAGAGATATTGAAAAACTTATCTACGAGTGATGTTGAAGAATTTCTTATTCATTTCAGGAAAGAAACGATCAAGGAAATTGCGGCATGTTCAACGATATCCAGGGAATGCATATTTTTTACTGGATGATACTGATGGTGATGATGAATCTCAATGGAACGTAAATAGGTATCGTGAAAATGATAATGATGATATACAACAACAACAACAACAACAACAACAAGAATCTAATCCAAGATTCGAGAATCTTAACCGGGAAACGACAACAACATCGAGTGAAGCTAAATGGGGAACAGTAAAAGAATCATATGATGATCATGTTAATTATTGGGAAACAACAACATCATGGTATTGGAATACTACACCAAAACAATCATATCAAAAAGAAATAACACCAACATATCGAGATATTTCGGGTTCAAGTTTCTGGCAAACATCTACCAATTATCCATTTTGGCGAGAAAATATTGAAACAATAACAACTACTAATACTACATTACCGATTGCTCATACTACAGTTTCTACCACTACTTCTGCATCATCGATTCATGAAGTAGCATCAGATGTAACCGAAGAGTTTATCTGGGGACGATTGTTTATTGTGACACCAACTTCATCTTCAAAATTAAATCAACCACTTGCTCTACCAATGAAAACTTGTCCACATCGCTTTGATGCTGTCACACGTGGTAAAATGAAATTTTAAAAGTTTGTCAAAATTTTGAATTGATATGTACAGAAATTTGATGTTTTTAAACTTTCAGAGCAACAAGATACTATCTCGAAATTTACTTCGCTTTCAATTATTTAACTACAAAGAAAAATTTTTCCAAAAATTAAAAATTCGATTTAAACTTAGTTTTAAGAATTAAAATTAAATTTACTTCTAAAAGTAATTAGATTACTTCAAAAATAAAGACATTAAAAATTCAAACAATTCCAAAATTTCTTATTCATATATGTGCGAGTTTATTTTAATTACAATTTGAAATTTCAATCTTTTCATTTTCTAGCATATAACGGTCGAACATATGTATTTGCTCGTGATCGTGTTTATCAACTTTGGAGACATGATAACTTACATCAAAAGGCATCATTTCATATTAATGAAATGTTTCCGGATGGTCCACGTACCGTTACGGTTGCTTACACTAACAGTAGAAGCGGTGTAACCGTACTTATCGAACATCAAACTGTCTATCGATATCGTTGGAATCGAAAGAATAAAGTTTTCTATGTTAGTGACATTATTTTCTATGTTAGTGACATTGTTAGTG